ACGTGTGCGCTCGCCAGACAGAGAGAGACAGAGAGACAGCGAGAAATCACCCCCCAGGGGGGATGGCCACACCGTAATCTCTTCTCCTCCACGCATGCACACGCGCCCTGCGTGAGTTTTAAGCCACCGGGTCCAGGACGCAAACCGGGTCAACTACGTGGGAGTCCAGCGACATAGCCATTAGCTAACTGCTGGTCCCCTGGGCCCTGGGTCTTGAGGTAGGGAGACTGATGCCAGCAATGGGGTGCAGGACAGCCCAAGCCGGCGGTCTGGATGAGTTCCACCTCTGGCACTTCCCCCTCTGGCTGAGTTTCCTCGCCTGGCATAACCAGGATCATTCCACCTACCAGATACCAGAGCTGCCAAGTGGATGACCCGTGGCAGCAGCCGGCATTGCCACGCTTTGTAAACGCCAAGGTGCTTGTTACCACGTGCTTTTGTTTTAGGAATCATAGGCAGGTAGTTGGATTTTCGGAGAACTGTCTGAGCTCGGAGGCCCAGGCCACAGGGACTTGACTTAACCCCGTGTCAGGAGGCACTCAGAGCTCTGCGCTTCGGCTGCCCGGGTGCTCCCTCTGAAGCTTGGTTTCCAGGATAGCTTTTCCCTTCGCACTGCCTCGTGCCATTTCTCCCAGCTTTTACCAGTGTGGAAATGTTCACAATGAGCGGAGAGGGGGAGAGCCAGAGAGTGATTGAGTGCGCCGACCTCGTGCCCCCAGGGAAGGTGCTGCCTGTGATGGGTTTGACCTAGGGGCTCGTCTCTGTGGGGGGAGCCTGGCAGGAGGGAACTAGAATCCGCCTCTCCCTCCACCTCTTCCCCCACCCTAGCTGCTGCGCAACTCGCGTGGCGGCTCAATCCCCCAACGGGAGCCTGGGCTTCCATCTCCGGGGCGCCAGCGCCATCTGGTGTCCATACAGGAGAACTCTCCGTAGAAGAAAAGGGATGTGGGCTTCCGCGCCGCACACATGGCTTATTGGAAGTCCCTCGCACCCCTTGTCTGGGGACTAGAGGCAGGCTCAATGCTCCTGTGCAGAATACACTCTAGTTCGGAGAGATGAGTAATGGACAAGCAGAGACGTACGTGAATAAAATCACTTCGGGTTCTGATGAGCACTTTGAGCGAATCGTGTGGGTAGGTGGAGGCTGCCACTGTGAACGTGGGTGTGTGGAGTATGGGTGGTGTGGAAGCCAAGGCTTTAAAGGTAGAGCTACCCATGCCAAGAGTGCACGGGAGTGTGGGCATACTCCAGGACAGGGAGCAACAACAGTCACCGCCCGAGGACCAACGAGTGTCAGACTGGGATGGGGTGGTAGGCAAGAGTCACATGACACAGAGACTTTCAAGGAGTTCGAGTTCACTCTGGGAAATGGGAAGCCATTGCTGGGTTTTAAGCTGAGAGTGACTTAAGTGACTTTGGAAGCAGCTTTTGGGCTATGGTGTGGGCTGAGGGGAGAGGGCAGGATGAAGGGAGGAAGAACAGTCAGGAGGAGATGCTGCTGAAAAGGGGAAGAGAGGGACCAACAATTAGCGTAATGACTATGTCACTGGACTCCCACGTAGTCAACCGCGGTTCCAGTCCCGGACCCGGTGGCTTAAACTTATGCTGGGCATGTGTGCATGCGTGCCCAAGATCCCGAGAGGAGACTAGAGGAGAAGGGATTGTGGTGTGGCCATCCTCCTGGGGGGTAATTTCTCGCTTTCTGGCTCTCTGTCTCTCTCTGTCTTTCTGGCGAGCACATGCGCCCTCTAGCAAAAACCTCTCCAAAAAAAAAAAAAAAAAAAAAAGCACAGATTGGAGCGAGAACCCGTCTCGATCCTTGCA